CTCCAGTTCTCTTCTAAGTAACTGACCTTCTGAAACTATAAACTGACCAATTAACTTTAGAAAGAAGCATTCAATGCTCTAGAATAAATATGATGCTTTTTTTTTATTTAATATTTTGTTTGGGGGGCCAGATCCAGTGAGGCTCAGTGGTTACTCCCGGCTCTGCACTCAGAATTTACTCCTGGTGGTACTCAAAGGACAATTAGGGGTGCTGGGGATTAAGCCTGGGTCAGCCATGTGCAAGGAAAATTCCCTACCACTGTACTACTTCTCAGTGCCCCAAATATGACTATTCATCCTACCCTTAAAGATGGCTCTGTCTCCTCTCTGGAAAGAAAGATGGCGGCCACATGGGAGCCTTGTGGACAGCAGATATGAGCCGGGAGTGTGGGGGCGACTAAAACCTCATGGGAAGGGGGGCGTTTCGCTCCGCCCTTCGCGCCCTGCCGAGGCCACCAGTTGCCCCCCATGGGCGGCTCTCCAGCACGGCCACGACTCCAGAACACAGAAACCAATTTCTTAACTATCTGACTTTCAGTAGAAATACTTCCAGGGTCAATAGGTAAAATAGCAGAAATCCAAAACCAACATTTAATTCTTGAACCCAGCTGTAGAAAGCAAATCTCTTCACAATGCTTTTTCAGCATGTCTGATTTGGGGGGGGGGGGTAAACTCTAAATAATAGTGGTGAATCTTTTATTGAAACAATCTAATCAAAGCGGATAGAGTGTTAACTAGAATTCATCTGCCTCACAGGGACGGGGAGGGGTGGGGGGTGGGGTATTATTGGGGTTCTTCATGGGAAAAATAAGTATTGGTAAAGGGAAATGTGTTTGATATTTGCATGACTGAGACATAAACCTGAAAGCTTTGTAACCTTTCCCACAGTGATTCAATAAATAAATAAATAAATAAATAAATAAAAAAGATGGCTCTGGGAGTTGTAGAGGAAGAGAGAGTACAGCAGCTCAGGTGTTTGCCTTGTGTGAGGATGTCTCCAGTTGAATTCCTGACTCCAAATTATCCCCTGAGTTCTCACAGGTGTGGCTCCAATAATTATTATCCCTAAAAGGTAAAAGGTAAAGGCCCTCCCGTTGATCGTCGATTTGCTCGAGCGGGCCCAGTAACGTCTCCATTAGAGGCCAGGCTGGAGCGATAGCACAGCGGGTAGGGCGTTCGCCTTACAAGCGGCCAACATGGACGACCCGAGTTCGATTCCTCCGCCCCTCTCGGAGAGCCCGGCAAGCTACCGAGAGTATTCGATATGCCAGACACAGTAACATTATATCCCTAAATTATAAATATTTTGGGCCTCAAAAGGAATGTGTTTGGTCACAAGTTCAAATACCTGACGTTCCATAGGGTCAAGGTACGACACTGGCTTCTGTGATCTGTGATCTTTTGGGTTATGAACTATTCACAAGCAAGTGTGCATCAACACCACAAAAAGGGGGTCATGCCCTGGCACTAGCAAGGTGTGTAGGCTACACAGTCAGGAGGTGTCACACCCATAGAGCACGTGTGTGAGCAACACAACTAAGGGAAGTGAGCACAGAGGTCAAGTGAGCAAATGTCACATAATGTGCAAGTACTACGTCAGGTGTATCTGCAACCCCTGCAGCAACATCGACAATGAAGGGAAAGGGGACAGGAGAGAGAAAAGAAATAATTAGTTAGTTACACTTTGGGGAAGGAGATTTATTTTGAGGATTCTTTTTGCATAAGAACTTTTGTCTCCTTCCTGCAGTTAAAGCTCCAGAAAACAAGCTGTATGCATACATGAAGGAGTAAACATTTGGGAGATTAAAGTTCAAATCTAACATTGCACTATTTCAACACTCAAAGCAGAACACAGATGTTTCTCTGGATATTCTGCTAACACTGTCCCACTGCTGCTTTTATTCATAATTTTCCTAACAAAAGGTGCTCTCACCGCAACTTCCATTCGAGCTAGTGCTGGGCTTTTCCATGATCTTTTTTTTTTGTTTTGTTTTTAATTCAGGGATTCTGTAAAAGTACCAAGGCCAATTCATCTTTCAGAGATGATGGGTTAAGGCATTAACACTTTCAAAAATCAGTTTAGATCCCCAGGAGTACTGTGGATCATGTATAATAAATGGAAAACATGTTTTTATAGTGATTTGTCATCATGATTGTTTTTAATGAAAGCACGTCTGGAAAAATTTGGAATGTCAAGTCCTTTAGATGTAGAAGTGGTTTCCTCCCCAAGGGCTGACATCTCACGTTGTTGGCCTAGGTCATAAAGCAAGGTCTTAGAAGCACAGGAAAACCTGACTTTTTTCCATCTGTCTCCTCTCCAACTGCCCCTGAGGAAGCTGATAGCCTGAGCACTGGAGAGGGACCCGGTAAAAACCTGGAATGAGAACTCACCCACACTTAGTTGGATTTCTAAAAGTATTTCAAACTATCAAATGGGGACCTGTGTGGCTTTGTTCCTGTCATGATGTATAGGAGATCTCAAGGGGTTGTCAGAGTTGGGGTAAAGGTAAGGCTGCTGGCTTTAAAGCATCGGAAGTGCTGTGAGTGTATAGATCACTGGGGAGGAGGGGTAGGAAGAGGAAGCGAAGCATCCACAAATCTAACTCACGACTAAAAGGAGAAAATAAACAGAAGGCAAGGGAATAGAAAATGTCAGTGGCATTCTTTGCAACGAGCATTTGGAGAGTTGACAACACAATTTCATTCAAGCAGCCAGCAACAGTTGAATCTGGTTACCACATGTAGGAGGGGCTCTAACACACACCCCTACACTGACCTCAGGGTAGGTGCCAGCCACTCTATGGCAGTCTAGAGTCTCCCAACTAGACCAAGTTGCAACATGCCCACCAAGCAACTTAATCATGATGCTATGAAAACAAACAAACAAACAAACTTCCAGAGTGCCCATTCAAAGACAACCATTTTAATTTTAATTGGGTGCATTTTTCTAGTGTTTTTTTCCTATTTATACATATTTCTATGTAAAAGAAACATATATTACCTACTTCCCCCTCCCTTATCTTATAGATGTTTTACCTTCTAGATCAGCGCATTTTTCTAGATCAGCGCATTTTTCTAGATCAGTGCACTTTTCTAGATCAGTGCTTTTCTAGATCAGTGCTTTTCTGGATCGGTGCTTTTCTAAATCAGTGTTTTAAAACCTTTTTCCAGCCATAGCCTCCTTCTGACTCTGGTTTCTTCCTCTAGTTCCCCCTATCCTGCTGTTGGCTCTCCAATCTCTTTGCACAGTTTTTACCTGTGGCCCCATGGGATATCTTGGGGGCCCACTGGGGGTATATGAGCCTTGGCTGAGAAACATTGTCCTAGACAGTTGGTGCTGACACCAGACTCAGCAATGGGGAAAGTGTGCTCTGAAAGAACAAAAAGGACAGCTTGCAAAAGGACAGCTTTGTGTATGCGTCTGTTGGGCTAGAGATATGCTATGTGATGGAGATGAAGAAAATGCTTGGAAGCTCCTGAGTGCTGGGATGGCAAGCAGAAAGCAAAATATATATATTTTTAAATATGGAACGCTTCACGAATTTGCATGTCATCCTTGCGCAGGGGCCATGCTAATCTCTGTATCATTCCAATTTTAGTATATGTGCTGCCGAAGCGAGCACAGCAAAATATTTTTAATGCACTGGGGCCTCTATAAAGCTAAGGGAACAGATAAAAGGCGATGGAGATCCAGAAAAAGAAAGCCCTCTGTCTCAGAAATCTGTGAAAGCTTTACATCCAGGTTCCCATGTGAAGTGAGACTTCAGCATTAGTTTCTCAGGCAAACAAAAGGTGTTGATGGAGAAAACACTGACTCTGTGACAGGAAAGCAAGTGGAATGTGCTTGGGGGGGTCTGATAAAATTCCACTATTGAAGTATAACTCCCAAACAGCTGGGAATCTATGAAGAATTTTATGAGGCTCCAGCTTCGGTCTCTTTGGAATTTAGTGGGAAAACTGGAGGAGAAAAGAAACTTAAACTTGGCCGTAATTGTCACTGTCCTCCTATTGTTCATCGATTTGTTCGAGTGGACCCAGTAACATTGTGAGACTTCTTGTTACTGTGTTTGGCATATCAAATATGTCACGGGTAGCTTGCCAGGCGTTGCAGGCGAGATACTCTCAGTAGCTTGACAGGCTCTCCGAGAGGGGCGGAGGAATCGAAGGTAGAGAAATCAAACTCGGGTCAGCCGACATGGCCGCGTGCAAGGCAAACGCCCTACTCACTATCGCTCAGGCTATCGCTCCAGCCTGACCTTAATTAAATCCACAAAATAAGAAAATGGTGTGAGAGAAGAAGAAATTAAAAGGGGACAAAAAGGACACAGTGGAGTGGCTGGAGCAATAGCACAGCGGGTAGGGCGTTTGCCTTGCATGTGGCCGACCCAGGTTTGATTCCCAGTATCCCATATGGTCCCCTGAGCACCACCGGGAGTAATTCCTGAGTGCAGAGCCAGGAGTAATCCCTGTGCATCACCAGGTGTGACCCACAAGGGAAAAAAAAAAGACACAGTAGAAGGTGCTGCATCAATAAGAGAGAAATGACTTTTTTTTTTTTTTCGTGGTAGAAGACAGTTGAGGAGACAGTCAGAGAAGATGTGAGAAGCTGTGATGGTATGAAGGGGCATTGCAATTTGTGGCTAAGATCTCTTTAATGTCGGGGCTGGAGCAATAGCACAGCGGGTAGGGTGTTTGCCTTGCTCATGGCTGACCCAAGTTCGATTCCCAGCATCCCATATGGTCCCCCAAGCACTGGGAATTTGCACTCAGGAGTGATTCCTGAGTGCAAAGCCAGGAGTAACCCCTGAGCATCACCGGGTGTGACCCCCCCAAAAACAATCTCTTTAATGATATTTGGTCGCATTCCTTTAGGATTTCTAGAAATTGAATTTGGAAGTAGCTTGGAAGTTCAATTTTGATTACTCTACTTTAAAAAGTTACAGCAAATATCATTTAGTGAGACTTAAAAGAATAGATGACCAAGTACAGAGTTTACTTACCTTCTCGCTTTTGCCTGCGTGGCAACTCCCCTGCCAGGTCATGTTCATGAAGAGTCTAGAAGAACATTTTAGAAAATGGTCAATTAGTGTCGAAGACATCTTTTCCTTTTTTAAAAAATTTATTTTAGGTGCCAAGGTATTGGAACTGTTAATGGTATGATTTCATGCATTAAAAAAAAAAATACCAGCACCACACCCTCCTCCACAGTTAGGCTTCCCTTTACTCAGTTCCAGTATCCCTCACTATGGTAAGCTTCCTTCTGAAGTCCAGTTTTCAGGTTCTGTTGCCTTTGGGAATTTTTCATTCCCTTACAAGTTTTTTTTAAATATCTGCATATATGAAAGAAATCATTCTGTGTCTGTCACTCTCCTTTGACTTCACTCATCATGATACTCACCAGATTCCATCCACTCAACAACAAATTGCATGATTTCACCTTTTCCTATAGCCAACTAGTATTTCACTGAATGTATGTGCCATCATTTTAGTTTAACCCCATCATCTATTCTTGGACACTTGGGTTGTTTTTGAATTTTTTCTACCATGAATAATGCTGCAATGAACACAAGGATGCAAATGCCTTATCTGAATTGAGTTTTCGGCCATTGGGATAAATGCCAAAAAATGCCAAAAAATGCCAATTGCTGGGTAATATGAAAGCTTAACTGCTAGTTTTTGAGAGCTGTGTATAATGTTTTCCAATGAACCAGTGGAAATTCCGACCAGCAGTAAATGAAGGTCTCTTTTCTCCCACATTTATCCAACATTAGTTGTTTCTGTTCTTTCTGATGTGTGCCAGTCTCAATGATATTTGATTTTCATTTTCCTGTTGATAATTGTGTTGCAGAGCAATTTTCATATACCTTTTGGCGATACTTGAGGAAGTTTCTGTTTATCTGTTCTTTAATTTTTTGATGAGATTTGTGTGTGTGTGTTTCCCCCAAATTTCTATCAGTGCTTTATGTATCTTGGATATCAACACTTTGTCAGATGAGTGGCGGGCAGATACTCTCTCCAAGTCTGTTGGGTATCTTTGTATTTTGGTGATATTTTCCCATCTGTTTATCTTTGCTTCTGTTTGCTTGGCCATTGGCATTGAATCATTGATGATACCTCTAGGTTCAAAGACATTAAGTATTATATTTATGTTTTCCTCAGTATAATCTATGGATTCTATGGATTCAGGTCTTATGTTTAGGTACTTAGTCCATTTTTATTTGGCTTATGTATATGGTGTTCAATAAAGGTGTCTGAGTTCATTTTTTTGCATGTGATCAACCAGTTTTCCCAACACCACTTGTTGAAGAGATGTTGCTTGCTCCACTTTATACTTTTTGTTCCTTTGTCAAAGACTAGCTGTTCATGTACCTGAGGTTCAGTCTCTGAACTCCCAATTTTATTCCGCTGGTCTCAGACTCTATCTATATTCTGACATCACACTGTTTTGGTTGATACAGCTTCATAGTACAGTTTGAAGTTGGGGACATCTTTACATGACAGCTTCCTGCTCACAGGCTCCAAAATATTAGAGGAAGGTTCTGGCTTATGCTCAGCAGATACTGTGCAAAGAGCAGTTGAATAGTAGGGAAAATAAAATGCAGTTGCTCTTGTAGTAGAATCTGTAATTCAGTTTTTGTAGATCAGTCTTTAGATCCAAGAACAGAAAAAGTCAACATATTCAGATTTCTCAGACTTCCTGAATTTGGACCCTGTCAAAAAACGTAAATGGCTATGTACTTACCCCGTGCTCTTTGCCTACATCTTAGACACTCAGTACAGCAGCCTTGTGGACAAGCCTCATTAATGATTCCCAACACCCATTTGTCTATATTATCCAATATTTCTGTGGTATTAGGACAGTTTAGAAATTATGCAAGCTTAGAAAATATTTTCTCCTCCTCTGATTTATTTTCTTCTGGATGGTTCTGTTATTGCTTTCAGACACAGGGGTTCTGAGATTATCTCTAGAGACGGACTTCCTGGGAACAAGACTGGTCACTATATTTAACTATTCAATTTCAGGGGTTTGTTTCGGGGGCCATACCTGGTGATGCCGAGGAGTTACTCCTGGCTCTGCACTCAGAATTATTCCTGGCAGTGCTTGGGGGACCATATGGGATGCTGGAGGTTGAATCCAGGTTGGTCTTGTATAAGACAAATGCACTACTCATTATACTATGGCTCCAGCCCCAACTATCCAATCTTAAAGAAGTTACTTTTCTACTCTGAGCCTTAGTTTCCATTATTCTGTAAAGTTAAATGATAGTACTAACCTCATAGAGTTGTTGGAAGATTTAAGTAAACTGCACCTGACACATCTCTTGATGATTATCTATATTCTACAGGATAGTCATTGAGACTAAGGACTCTGCAGACATCAAGTGTAAATCCCGATTCCGCCATCAAACAGCTGTGTGACACTGGGGTTACCTAAGTGCCTCAATACCTACCTAACATGTAGAGAGGAAAATAGCTTTATAAGGTTGCAGTAAGAATGAAAAGACTGATACAGATCAGGCTCTGGGAATAACCCTGGCGACCTAGCAAGTGCTTTTCTAACACAGGGCATCATGATGATCTGGGGTACCATTGCCATGAGCTGCCAGAAGAAACTCTCTGTTGGAAGGATGCTGCTTGCTTCTTTTATACAAAGAACACCTACTTTCATCATGTAGTTGACATTGGCTGACTTTGCTGCTGGGATCAGTGCAGATAGTGGGGCATGGCAGTGAGGTGAACTTGTCTTGACCTGGCATGACTTTCCTTATTTGTCCTGCTGTCAGGAGGGTTTTCCTGTTACATCTTTTTCAATACTTTCAAGCCTTTGATTCTGTTGAGACAGAAGCGGTCATTGAAGCCCTAGCCAATCAGGGCATTCAAGCCCAATACATCAAGATCCTCCGTGAACTCTATTGTGGATTCACTACCAGGATCTCACCATTCTACAAAGAAGTAATCATTGATGTCAAGAGAAGGGTTCAGCAGGGTGATACCATTTCACCGAAACTCTTCAGTGCCACCCTCGAGAACATCATGCGACGACTGGAATGGGAAGGAATGGGAGTGAAGATAGATGGTCGGCAACTACACCACCTCCGCTTTGCTGATGACATTGTTTTAATAACACCAAACATCAGCCAAGCGGCACAAATGCTGGCCAACTTTGACCGTGAGTGTGGAAAGGTAGGACTACAGCTGAATCTTACGAAGACAATGTTTATGAGAAACAGCCTCGTTCCTGACGCCCCATTCGCTCTCAATGGAACGACCATCTCCGAATGCAAAAGCTATTGTGTACCTAGGTCGAGAAGTCAACATGACAAATGACCTGGCACCTGAGCTGCGCAGGAGGAAGAGAGCGGCTTGGAACGCCTTCAAGAACGTCGAAGAAATAGCTAAGAGAACGAAGAACCTCCGGCTCCGGGCACATCTCTTTGATTCCACTGTTCTTCCTGCATTAACATATGCCTCAGAGACCTGGGCCCTACGTAAACAGGATGAGAATGCTATTCGGGTCTCCCAAAGAGGAATTGAAAGAGCTATGCTTGGAATATCATGTTTCACTCAAATGAGAGAAAGAATCCGGAGTGCCAACATCCGTTGACGATCAAGAATCAGGAAAGCTGTCTTGTTCGCCAAGGTGTCAAAAATCAGATGGGCTGGTCACGTAATGAGATTTAAAGACGACCGCTGGACTAGAGCTGTTACTGACTGGATCCCATGGGATGTCAAAAGACCGCGTGGCCGCCCACCTACCAGATGGTCAGACTTCTTCATCAAGATCATGAACCATCGGTTTGAGGCTCTTCATGTTCCCAGAGCGAACAGATGCCATTGGACTACACTAGCATGCGACAGGGACAAATGGAGACATTACTGGCGCCCGCTCGAGCAAATCGACGACTAACGGGAAGTTAAGTGATTTACTGAAGTGATCTTTTTCAATCAAAGCCCCCTTCAAGGCTCTGCAGAAGTGCCACCTCCTCTACCGTGTCTCCTCACATGAGTTTGTATCTCCTGGCTCATGTCCTTCATCATGAAGTTTAAATACCTATGAATCTACCTAAGGCAGAGTTCCTTCTGTCTTCTGTGTGTCAACCCTTAATTCTCAGTCTTACAAAACATACATTAAACTAATTCTTCCTAAGTTGTGCTCAACATCCCTTTGCAAACATCTGAAATATAAAGTATATTATTTTATATATATTATATATAATATATAACACATAAATTATATAAGACATATAAAATATCTTCTTGATATTTTATATTTCATTCTGCTTGATATTTTATATTTCATTCTTATGAGTAGACCTCTGCTGCTATCACCCACATTTCACTGAGAAGAAGGTACAGCCAACAGAGACGTCAACAAATTTCCCTGAAGTGGCACAACCTTTCAATGGCAGAGTCAGGACTCAACTCAATCTGGGCTCCTAAGTTTTCTCTTGGCAAAGATAAAGGCACCGGAGTATCAGGAAATACCCCAGACACTGTGGGTTGGTCTCAGTGACCGGCCTCTCTTTAACGGCACTTCTCTTTTTATCCATTGCCCCATTTTATCCCCTCCTCAAAGATTTATATTAACATCCACAGAGGCTGAAGGAGGCATTGTGTTCTCAACAGTTCATAAATATTCTTGGTGAAATGAATAGATAGAAGAATGAGGCATGATGTCTGAAATTTCAAAAGCCCAGTGGTGGCTGCATTTGCAAGGAGGTTTGTTATATTAGCTACAGTGCAATGTAAAGGAAGTGAGAAGGAACAAAGTCAAAGCATCTGGCTGATTCCTGCCCGGCTTCCCCAAGGGTCTCCTTTGGCTCTGTGCCAGGCTCTAGAAAGGGCTCTTCCTCGGAATTCCTGCAGCATCTCCCCAGGGAGTAAGGAGGCAAAAGCCACTGGGAAGTCATTCCTGCTCTTTTTTCATGGACTCTGATCTGGGGTTACTCCACCAGCCAAGGAGAAGACCATCACTGAGAATCATTATTTTAAAATTGAGGTTTTTAATTTTCTCCTTTTCCCAGCAGGACTAAGGAAAGGAACACTTGCCACAG